ATAATTGCAACTATTTGGTTCGATCAATCAATAGTAACTGATTAACCAGACAATAGAATTTTAACAAATGAAAATCAATAATAAAAAAAAAAATACTTTTGGTGATTTAAAACAATAAATTAGATATAATATTTTTGTAAGATTATATTAGTGTAATTTTTTAAAAATTATAAAAATTAAATATTAAAATAATAAATTAAATGCGATCTTTTATAAAACTGAAATAATATAATTTTATAATTATAAAAATTAAATAGTGTAATTTTTTTTTTAAAAAAATATTCATTTGTCTCAATTTTTATTTATTTTTCAAATTCTATTTTACTGACTCAAACAAACAAAATGGAATAATTCTATTTGGTTATATTTGTATTGCACAAATTTCATTACTTTTGTATCAGACAATATTAATAAAGTTATTTTAATTTTTTTCTACTTTATTCCTAGTACGCTACAATGTAATACTGATATTCCTAAAACTTCATCCAAAATACAAACGGATATATAGATAACGGACGGGGAAAGAAGTATATCCTAAGACTTATTTGAATGAGCATTAATTATTCAATTGTGTACAAATACTACTCACTCCATCCCAATACAATAGTCTTGTTTGCCATTTTTGTCTATCCCAAAATAATAATCTTATTTCCATAGATAATCATATCACCATAAAACTACTTCTACTTTTTCATTTTTATTACACAATTGCCACTACTTTTTACACAAATACACTCACAAGGGCAAAAAAGTCTTTTATTCATACTTTTTACCAACTACTAATATAATACTAATATTCCTTAAACCTCGTGTTCAACCAAATTAAGACTATATTTATGGGACGGAGGGAGTATTTGTTATTTTTAGGATCAAGCCTAAGATTGAATTGTATTGTACTGTACTCCCTCCGTCCACAAACTAACGTCCTACTTTCTTATTTGGAATGTCCAACAATTATTGTCCTCTTTCTATTTTTATACACAAAATTTACTCATTTACCCTTACTTTATTTACTCTTTCATTTTCTATACACAAGATTAAGGGTCAAATTATTATTTTATAACAAAAATCCTAATTGCCTAAAAATTGCGAGTAAATATCCTAATTGCCTAAAAATTGCGAGTAAATATCAAATAGGATGGAGGTAGAATTGTATTTGTAAGGTTATTGCAAGATATACTTCCAAACACATGAACTTTATAATAGCCCAAAAGCAAAATTGATTAGTCCTCCTTTGCAACAAAATGCATTACAATATGCTTAAATATGTTATTAAGCTATCCTGAAATCAATGACAACCATTAATAATTAAATAAATTAAATTATTTTTAATCAATTAAAATTATTGAGTATTTAAAATTAATTCAATATGTGCAGAATAAATTAATTAAATCGGCACATGGTTCAAACCCTTGTAACATTAAAACACAGTTAAATTTACCTAAATTATTACTACCAATAGAGTGGAAGAAGGGAGACTCGAAAAACATGACTCAATAACTTACAAAATACCGACCACTATATTCAAATTTTAATTAATATATACTCGTTCTGTCTCGGATAAGATAAGATTCTTTTAATTAGGAGTACGGCATTTTAGATAGTGTAATTTAATATATTAATTATAATATTAATTTATTTTTTTTTATATAAATAGCCTTGTTATTATTTTTAAAATAAAATTTAATATACATAATTAAAAGAAATTTAAAATAAATATTTAAATATTTTAAATTATATTTCAATAAAAAATATACTTCATTTGTCCTTTAATAAAATATATATATATTTTTTTGCATTATTGTATTTATATTGAAAATATCTGTACATTTATATAATATTTTATACAAATATCATTGCATCTGTATTATATACGTATTTTTGTTTTTTCTCTTAATTTGTTCATACAACAAATGTAGTATATAATATGAATATTATTTTGTAGATATAATTTTTTATATGATACAAATAAATAAATATTTCTTTTGCTCAAAACCCTTGGTTTTTACTATTTGAATTCTATTTTTTCCGAAAAAATACATATTTTTCTCTCACAAAATATTTCATCGTATATTATTTTAATACCAAACTCAAACCAAATTTTTTTCAAACTCATCTAAAGAAACATACCGAATAATATATTTATTTATCTTGAATTAATATAAATTAAGTTTTCAAAAAATTAAAAAAAAAAATTAAATATAAATAAAAGTATTTGTTTATTGAAAAAAAAAATAACTGATCACATACGTAAAAAGTTTAAAATTTAATTTAATTAATTTGTATTTATTAAATATATTTAAAATGATTTAATTTATCAAAATAGAAATAGAATCATCCATTGGAGGAAGTGTATATATATATATACTAAGAGCTCATGGCGCGCTACGCCGAGCAACTTCGAATTTATATATAAGAGAATTTATATTTTTATTATAATTTTTTGAAGTAACAAATGAACAATTAGAATATTTTTAACATAAAAAAAAAATCGAATTTTTAGAGTAAAATATACCATAAAGTATATATATATAAAGAATAAATGAACAAACTATTAAAAAAAAAAAATCGTTTTATTTAAATTATAAAAAGATTCGAAATTGTTTGCAGAGATTTTTTTTATTAAAAATTGCGTAAATAATATAAAAATAATAAATATATATAATATATTAATTTTTTTAAAAAAAATGTAATAATTTTTTTCTTTTCACAAAACAAACAAATCACAAGATTTAAAAAATAAACAAAAAAGTTAAATTAATATCAAGATGCATATAATATAATTAGTTTTTTAGATCACGAACAATTAAATATTAATAAATATATTATGGAAACATTAATTTACATATAACATTTCAGAAAAGTAAATACAAATATTTTTTATATATTTTATATGTACGAAGAAATGTAAGTAAATGTTATAGATTAATTTAAAAAAATATAAAAAATGATTAGTACAATTGTATTTTAGAGATATAGAATTATTTTTTATATAAAATTTAATCTAACTATTTTTTCTTTTACTCTATTAATTGTTTATCATTTTAATAACTATGCCCTCGTGGAAAGCAAAAACAAAAACGAAAAACGAACAAACAATCAAAATTGTATCAATTATTTTTATTTTGTAAGATCTATCAGGTAAAAAAAATAATTTTTTCTCATAATTTCTTTTCAAAACAAAAAATACTAAATTTTATGCCTTACTAAAAAATTAATTTTCAATAAAATTTAAATATTTTGTATAAAAAAATATAATATCATTATATAGTTAAACTAATAAATTTAATATTTTTTTTAAACAATTACTATAGTAAAATAAATAGTTATTTGTATGTTTTTAGGGCAAGGGGTAAAGATGAAAATAAATGATTAAAAGAAGGGTATTTATGTAGTTTCATGTAGCCATTCCCTCTCAAGCCATATATATATATGTAGTATTGATATATTTTTTATTATTAATAAAATAGTTGCCAGAACAATCATTTAGCAATCAACTCGTCTTTTCTTAAAGTGCGACATTGTAATTATTATTTAAAAAAAAAAAAAAAAACAAATCTACTGTATTTTTTCTCTCTACTGTATTTTTTCTCTCTGTCTATAAGAGTCTCATTTACTTTTAATGTAATTGTATTTGATATTAAAAATATTTTTATATTTTCTTTTATTAGTATTATGAGATACTAAAAAGTATTTTTACAATTTTTTCTTTATTTATACTATATTTTAATATAATAATTAATATTTAAATATCAACACAAAAAAAATAAATAAAACTCTTAGAACAGAACCAATGTAATATTTAATTTGTTGATAAATATTGAAAAATTTTCTCCTTAATTGAATTAAATAAGGTGCTCTGCAAACATGCCAACTAAAAACACGAAGACAGTCGACAATGACACAATGAAAAAAAAAAATCAAAGGGAAATATGTATTTCATCTGTTTAGTATTTTAGTTTAATGTATTTTTTTATATATAAGATATTAAAAAAATTATATTAATTTTTTTTTTTTTTTTTTTTGAGAGAATAGAATATGTTGTATATGTATAGAAAATAATTAAATTATATCAAATCATCTCTAATTCATAATTCTTTATTTTTGCAGTGCTGCTATTCATTTTCAACAATATTTTCTATTTTTGCAGAATTTACAAATATTTTTTTTATATTTTATTTTATACTACTTCTCCCGTCCGTCTATAAGGTCATATTTATTTTTTGCGGTATTTGACATTAAAAATATCTTTATTTATCTTTATAATTTTTTGTGTAAATATTCTTCTAACAAGACACTAAGTTTATCTTAATTTATACTACGGTAATTACGGTATTTGCGTAGCTTATTTAATGAAATGGTTATTAGTATTATTTAATTAAACATAATATCAATTAATTTAAATTTAATAAAAATAATTTATAATCATTTTATCATAATTAATTACCTATAAATCTCAATAAATATTAAATAAATAAATAATTTATTATAAATATCAATTACAAAATTATAATATAAATAATAAACAAAACTAATTAAAAAATAATTATGGTGGGTTGTAGATGCTCTCAGTAAAAGTAGTATATTGAACCAACCAAACCAATCGAATATCGGAAGAGGAAGATAGACTAGAACAAAATTAGTGGAAAAGAAATTTTAAGGATTGATGATTATACAAAAAAAACGAGCGTTTCAATTTATGATCCATTTTTATCTCTTATGATGATGAATTGCTATGTATCTGATCATCAAATCCAAATCCATTCATGTTCAAATCGTTTTCAAAAATTCCAATATACGAGAGCAGACCGCCTAGTCTCAGCATGCAAAACAGAACTCCAGTAATCAACAGTAATGCCGAGGAGAATGAAACACGATTGATTGAAGGATGATTCATAGATTCAGAAAAGTAATGGAAAATTCGATTGTGCTCCAGAATTAGAATCACCTAAGTATTGTTACCATGGTAATCTACCGGAGGAGAGGCTCTGATTTTGCGTTCAATAGCCGCGGATGATTTCAGAGCACTTGTTTTTGATCCAACGAACGCCTTTCCTAATCGAATCCTTAACCCTACCTTCAACGGTGTAGATCTTATACTTGGCGATTCGCTTCCGCCTCTTCACCTCCGCCTCCGCGTCACCTAATCCCCACGCCTTCGACTTCCACCGCGGCGCTATCTCCTTCGTCCGATTCAATGGCGGCGAAGGCTGATAATAAGTCGCGGCGGCGGCGGCGTACATCTGATCTCCATTTTGACTATGAATCTGACCTCTTCCGCTCACGATATCCAGCCTTGTTTCACGGCCGCCGTACTGAAAACTCAACTGGCCGCCATCTTCCATGGTGTTCCGAAGAGACCACGGATTCTGAGAGCGAGAGAGAGGGAGGGTAGACACTGCCCAACCATAATGTGCTAATATTTATTTATTGTTTCCCTAACCCCCAAAAGTAGAGATTGGAGAGCAAGTAGGGCTGCCCACTCATAATTATATAAGTAATATTTCAATTCCTTTGAGGCAGACTTTTAGGTGACTGTTCTAATTTTATTTTATTTTAATTTAACAAATAACAAAAAGATTCCAATTCACGTTTACAGATTTATGTTAGGCCAAAAATATGTCGTGTTTAGGGCGGCAGATTAGCATAATTAAATAATTAATATATATATATATGAAAAAAGAATTGAATATATAAAGGGTAGTGTATATATATATATATATGCCTTGCCTTTATTTCAATTTCTATAGAATTACAATTGCTAAAATCTTTACCTACACTTTCTAAAGTTTTATTGCTATTTGTGCATGATAACCTTTTTTTTTTTTTTTTTTTTTTTTTTTAAATAAAGTGAAAAAATCAAAATTGGTTTCATTCAAAATAAAATTAGCCGACCGTTTAAAAAATTAACGAACATGTGAACATAACGACGTCGCATCTTATCTTGGACTTACTACGGCCGTGTTTATCAACAACGCAAAGTTTCATACTTCTTTCTCATCCCATTCTCATATCTCTCATTCTATTTTTTCACCAGAATTAATCAATTGCAGATGCACGTTCTGGATTATTATATGACATAGACGGGAAACAATTGAAGAAGATAGCAAAGTAATTCAAGAGTATAGGGAAGAACCCACCCATATCACAGCCACTGCCGGCGATGGAGGATGCCGATGCCCGCGCCAATTCCTCAATCAGATATTGGGAGTCCTTGAAAATTCACGCCACCAGAATGGACGGCCACATCGCGGACGGATGGAAGGAATTCATATGGGATGGATGGAGATATTTTGCACCCTGATATTCCTAGGCTACACTGCTTCTGATTGCCTCCGGAAAGAAATCGACAGGGAACAGCCATATTTCTCCACAATGGCAAAGCTACATACTCATTGCATTGCGACTCGACGCTTCTGCAATGAGAGAGATGAGGATGAAATGAGATGCCATGGCGGATACAATTACGTTCGACGTCAGCAAATTTTGTTAATTTTTATAACGGTAAACCAAAATTGATTCAAATTGTTTATAATAAAATTAAAATTAATGAGTTTTTACATTGAGTACATAATTTATAAATTTTGTTTTCAATGGGACAATCTCGAATTTTTCCCTTTTAAATACCATATCAAATATTTATTTTTTACTAAAATATTATATTAAAAAAATTCTATAGAAAATATTTTTATATGGTCTTTTTAGATGAAATATATTTTTATGTTAAATATAGGGAATTATATTGACCATACAAAATATAATAATATTCTTCAATCCTGTAAAATTATGTAGGATTAATTAGCCACAAAAATTAAAAAATAATAATATTTTAATAAAATAGAGAATGTAAAAAATAAAATAAAATATTAGTATAAAAAAAGTTGTTAAATAATTGATGAAAAACTCAAAGATATGTACCTCAGAATTTATTATATATATATCATGAATCAAAGAGTTCCTCCCAAACATGACTAATAATACACAAGGCTGAGCTGCTGTATGTGATGAACATGCAACAGGAATTGCTTCATGACAGTGATATAATTGATGGATAGTTTGAGCACAAGACTAGGAAGAAACTGCATAATTAAATCCGGGAGCGTACCTCCGAACCATGGGGAGTCTTGAATCAACAGAAATACTCCTCCGGCATTGTCAACTAAGATAAGAACTTACAAAACAAGAGTCAAACAGTAACAGAAATGTCTCCGAAGACATCAGGCAATACAAGATGCAGCTTAGGATAAGTTCCTAGGTTGCAGCCCCATCACTAACACCAGCAAAGGAGCTTTAGAGCTTCAGCCAGCCGGTGCAAATTTAAGATCTTTAAATTGATCGAAACTATGGCATGTTTATCAAGTTCACTAGCCATAGAGATGCTATATAAGTAAATTAATCAGAATAATCCAATGACATACATAATTTCATGACAAATTGTAGTAAATAACATAACTTAAAACAACTTGAAATGCCCTGTAGCATCCAAAAGGGAACTGATCTTTGTTGAGGCAGAAGACAATGTGTCCTCACTTTTGCAGAATGCAAATCTTACATACCTCTGATCAAAACCATGATCTACAGAAGGATTGCCATGGAAGAACCCACGCCCTGGCACAGCAACTACTCCGGCTTGCTTAATCAATTCCTCAACAAATTCAACCTGCAAACACAACAATTAGCAGAAAGAAGAACGACAACCACGTGAGAATATGTTGAGATAATAAGCAAGAGCTCACATCAGAATAAGAGCAGCTTTCAGGAAGCTGGGCAAACAAGAAAAAGGACCCCTGAGGCTTGAACTGCATCTTGAACCCAATCTTTACCATAAGGTCGAAAATTCGATCTCTTTTTGCTTCGTAATCCTGATAACATTACATGTCACTTTATATATGCACAAGTAATAGAGACAAAAGGAGGGGGAAAAGAAAAGGCTAGTATCCAATTTCATGTTGATCATGGTAAGAATTTTTTATTCCTATTTAGATTATGCTGAGAAAAGGCTTAGTTTTGAGATCCATTATTGGACAACTTACTCTTCTCAGTGATTCAAAGTGCGACTGAGGACTATTTAAAGCAGTCAATGCAGCTTCCTGAAATGGTGCTGGAGCACAATCTGTAATCCTTACATGAATGTTTCTAATTGCTGAAGCAATACAAGTAGGAGCAATTGCCCATCCAATTCTCCACCCTATACACACCGCGAACACTTTGATTTAAACTTTAACTAACAGGAACATGTTTAAGGGAAAGGAAAGCAAATATGAACAGGCTTTAGTTCCAATATGTATGTACCAGTTACACCAAATGTTTTTGACAAGGAAGATGTAATAACTGTTCGCCTTTGCATTCCGGGAAGGGAAGCTAGAGATACATGCCTTTGATTGTCAAATGTTATATGCTCATAAACCTGTGAAGATAATGGAAATGGAACAATATGCGATGCAGTATAAAATGTGAGCACAGAAACTGATGTGACATGAACTTAGGACATCCAGAGAGAATTCAATATCTTTTTACTCAACAAATAGTTGCCTTTACCCGAGAGAAAACTAAAATAGGTCATTTTAAAAGAAAAGCAACACAGTCAAAAACTGTCGGGGACGAAATTAACATATAGATTCAAGTTATAAACTAAAACCTCAACCACATGGGAACTCTGCATGCCGCACAAAGGCTAAATCTAAATAGCAATGCAGTCATTTTCATGATGAACATTCTATTAAATTCTCATGTGAAGAAGTAATCACCAAAGAAGATACAGCTATAACACGATGAGCCTCCAGTGTCTATACAAAGATTATTATTAAAAATTTAAAAGCATTATTTTATCATACTTCATCTGTTACAGCAAGCACATCCCTTATCCGGCAAGCTTCAGCAATGATCTCAAGCTCATCCATGGAGAAAACTTGCCCAGTTGGATTGTGAGGACTGTGCCACTTTGAATTAGTATAGTTCTGAAACTTAGAGCTTATACAGTGTGCATTCTCTTGATTCTAAATTAGAGGATGCTTGCCATTTGAATGCTTGAAATCAACTCGTGTAACCACGAAAAAACTCAACTTCAGAATTCAAATAATACCTATTTAAAACTAATACTTTTGTCTTGTCCGTGAAGGACTTCTCCAGCTTCTCCGAATTCAATGTCCAATGAGGAGGATCAAGGCTTACGTAAACCTGCAATTTTTCATTCAAATACAAGAACTTAACACTTGATTTTTCTGGATATTAGAAAAGGGAACATCATTAAAAAGGGGGGAGAATAAACAGCCATATCTACTACTAGAGTCATCTTACTGGAATTCCTCCAGCAAGCCTAGCACAAGCCTCGTACGTCTCGTAGGATGGATCAAAAAGTATAACTTCGTCTCCCCGATCAATTACTGAAGAAAAAATCACATTATCCAGATTGAAATGGAAAATGTACTTCAAATGTCGATTACAAAGTAATAAGATAAGGTATTACAACTACATACTAGAGAAGATTGTCGCAGCGAAGGCTTCAGACTGTCCACAGCAAACGACTACATCTGCGAGCGGATCAACGTTCATTCCATGCATTTCCATCATCTTACATGCCACATACTCACAAATTCCTTGTACATGCCTTCAACATATGGCAAAACACTTAAACATAAAAAATTGCATTCTCAGAGAGGTAAAAATAAGCCAAATGCTCATCTGTTAACTATCTATCAGCATTTTTCACGCTCTAACAAACGAACCTGTACTGATTGAAATCGGAAAGGATTGCCGAAACGGCGGCGGTTTTTATGTGAGGTGGAGCTGGAGAATCGGGGAAACCCTCCGCCAATTAACAGCGTTGCATCTTTGAGCTAGGGAGGATAGTTGCTGGATAGGTGAGGGTGCAAGCGTCTTGGCCACAGAAGATAGCTTTTCTTCCATTTCCAGCTCTTCCTTCTGGTGTCGTCGGGCTTTATCACATTAATCAAATAGTCTTATTTTCACAAATTTTAATTTCTTTTTACTTTCGTATTATTATTAGGGGGTGTTCAACAAATAATTTTTTGAAAAATTAATTTTTTAGAATAGTTTTTTTTTACCCAAAAACTAATTTAGCTAATTTATCCACCGTTTTGAAATAATTTTTTTTAAAAAAAAATTTTATTCTTTACGTGCCCTTAAAAATTTATTATGCATTTTACACAGATAAATATATTTTGATTATTTATTAATTATATTAAAATATTTTATTAAAATATAGTTTTACTTTTATAAATTTAAAATAATTAATTTTTATATAAAAATTATTTTAATTGTAAAATATATAAATTTATTAAAATCTAACATAAAATAAAAAATATAAATATTAATAATTTTTTTT